GACTAATTGAAGACCAACTTCAATATGATAATGATCTGTTTAAAAAGATTTTTATTATGTTTTAGGCAGTACATTGTTACAAAGTTGGTTATTGTGTGATTTTATGTTTCAATGTTCAAATTTCGCATAAAAGCCGTACTGGACACCTGGAATCGTTCACCTGGAAGATTTGAGACAGGGGATGAGTAGTAAGTGTTTGCAAGGAAGTTAGTTTTATATACACATGTTTAAAGGGACTAGTTTCCACAGAAGCTTGAATTTTGCTTTACGTTGTGCAAGGCCGTGGAATGTATTTAATGTGCTTGTGGTTTTCCATATTTAGCCTACATAGCATAACAGAGTCAGGGTTTATGTTGACTCAATTATCTGAAAGTTTATAGACAACAAATATATACCCTAATTTGACATTGCAGACTTGCATACACAGTCTGGCTTCATGCTTACTTAGGGTACCATTGCAGTACATACATTGCTGACTGGCCGACTAATAAACTGGCTAGTTGCTGGATAACTGATTAATTACTGACAGAATGTACAGACACTAAAAGGGAGACCTTTCATATTATATCATGACGTCATCTAGCTGTCTTAAAAGTATAGGCCTTTCTGTGATCTGTGCAATAATACAAGAGTATTGCTAAGCCTTCAGCTTCTGCTGAAGTGTCAGCCCAGCCTTTCAGTAAGTGATTGAGAAAAGTGCAGCCATCCTATCTGAAGCCTCTGTGCAGTGTAATGCTTCCAGACAGGGGAATCAACCTGTTTCTGAAGAGTTTGAAAATCTATTTAGCACTTAGTATTGAATGCTGGATTTCTGATTGAGAATACGGTAACAGTGAAGGGAAATGGGCCAAATTGTGTTGCTGGAAGCTATGAAACCAAAGAGTGCTCAGTGTTTATTGATTAATACCCTGGCAACCTTTTTGTTTTCCAAGCTTAGCTCTTGATCCTGGAAACAAATTAACAAGGTGGATAGGAGAAATGAGCTTTTATAAAGAAGCAGTACTTAATTCGTTGTGTTGATGTTTGTATCAGGACAAAAGCTGGAGCCCGCAAATACAAAACTGCACTGAGTCATGGCTTAGTGGGCAGCCTTCTTCCCTCTGAGTTAGCAGGTTGTGATTTCAAGTCCCACTCCAGGGACTTGATCACAGAAATGTAGGCTGCTAACTTGAGTGGAATTTGATTGTTTCTTGGCAACTAAGCTGAGGGGAGGGGAAGGTCTGTAGAATAAGAGGGAATACGGGAGTGAAATGAATGTCTGTTCCACTTTGCAACTTCCTTCAATTCACTTTGGGAGATGAGCCTTTCTGCCCAGGTGAGAATTCAGACAGCGTGAGGGCCTCTTGCTGGAAGGAGGAGGTGAAGGAGGAAAACAAGTGAGGGGGGGTCTCAGAGAGAGAGAGAGAGAGAGAGATCCTTCAACCATATGGAGAGGCTTGAGTAAAAAACTAGTGGCCTGCCTCCAGCCTCAGGTGAGGGCCTTGCTGATTGGGTACTATGTGATCCAAGGAAGGCCTCCTAATGCAAGGACCGCCCCATCAAAAATCCCTCATTGGCCTCAGTGAGCCCAGCACATGTGCGTTTCTTCCAGAGGATCCTCCATTGTTGCTGGTCCACGCCAGTTGCAATGTCAGTAGTGGCCACCATTCCTGGTGGCGCTACAGGGTCTGAAAATCCAATGGCCCTACGATATACTGACATCTATTGGAAGTGGGGTCCCACTCCTTAAAGAGACAGAAGCACCAATATGACCCAGTTAATTGGCTGGCACAGGGTTGCATTGGGCTCCTGGAAATAGCTGTGGCAGGATTGGCCTCTGAACTGCTGATGGGGCCTCTGCCACAGTCATTAAATTCAGTGCCTCCACTGTAGTGATAAGGGAGTATTGGACCATCAGAAGTGCAGTGTTTTTCATGAGAAATTAAACTGAAGTCCTGCCTGTCATTATCAGGTGGACCTAAAAGATTTATTGGTACTGTTTTGAAGAAAAGCAACCAATGTCACTTGTCACCCGACATCATCAAAACAGATTATCCAGTTATTCTCTCACTGCTGTTTGTGGGAGTTTGCAGTGTACAGATTAACTGCCACAATTCCTACATTACACAGTGACTAAACTTCAAAAAGTACTTAATTGGTTATAAAGCACTTCGGTATATATTTGCTTGTTGTGAGGAATGGTACAAAAAGTCATCTGTCTACAGTACACTTGTAGCGTACTCAAGCTCAGACTGGGCAAAAGATATGGCACCAAGTGGAGCTTAGGTTTCATCTGATAACAGCACAACTGAGATCACTTTCTCAGCACATAGGTAATTGTACGCATACAGGAAATTAGTAAAGTTTTTATTTGTATGTCCAGTACAATGCCCAATTATGATGCCTGTTTAGAGCTATTACTTTGTCTTCCCAGAGTTGATTTCTTCAAATTAGTTAAAATCAGCTGAATGGTTACTATGGGGGACTTGCCTGGTTGTATTCACACAACATAATTCTATATTGCAATCAAAAAATTTCAGCAACAGCAAATTAATGGTCTTCATGAATCTGCCACAACATTTTGCTGAACATCAACTTTTATCCTGAAGCAACGTGTCATTATTGCGCCACTGAAGTCCAAATATTTTGGGTGCAAAACAAGCTGTTATGTGACAAGAAAATACTTAGTTTCATAGCAGTTCACAAATTATTTATGATTCGAAGGCTTGGAATAAGGCACCTTAGTGGCTATATTGCTGGACTGGGATCTCAAAGATCAAGAGTTAAAATCTCTTTGGTACAAACTGCTTCGATAAATCTGGTAACTTGTGAGCTGGCATCAAAATTATAATGAAAGCTCTGGGATTGTTGTTAAAATCCAGCCTAGCATTAGGTTTCCCATGTCTGGAGATGTGCAAGGCAATCAAAGAACACACTTGCATCTGCTTTTGTAGTTTGTTTTTCCAGGAATTAGACATAATTGTGAAGACAGAGGATATGACTTGAAGGGTGTTACCCTAATCAAACATGACTGACCACCTACCATAGATTGTTGGAAAGACTTGCAGGTTGATATCTCACCTGTTTGGCTACATTATGGACTCACTTTCCACAACCATCAAGCCCTGGAATGGGATTTGAACCCAAGCAGCTTTCATTGACCAGAAATTGAGCTGGATTAGCTCTATATTTATAAAAGCAAGTGAAAAGTTGGGAATTTTGTGGTTAGTAACTCACTATCTGAATGCTGTCTCCCACCTACAAGGCACATGTCAGGAGAGTGATGGCATCTTAACCTGGTTAAATGCAGCTCCAGCAACACTCCAAAAGCTCAATATCATTCAGGACAAAGCAGCCCACTTGGCATCCTTTCCATCAATTTCAGCATTCACTGTCTTTACCACTGACGCACAGTTTCAGCAGTGTCTACCATGTACAAGATGCACTCCATAACTCACCCAAGATTCTTCAACAGCACTTCCCAAACCACTAATTTCACTATTACATTACCTAGGAGCTCAAGGACAGGAAACAAATGGGGATTCCACCACTTGCAACTGCCCCTCCAAGCTGCACATCATCCTGACTTGGAATTATATTGCTGTTCACTCACTGTCACTGGGCCAAATTGACAAGGTGACTGGGGAAGTGATGTTTCTTCTTGTCTATGAGCCCAGAACAAGGTGTCACTATTTTAAGATTAGGGTTAACCCTAATTGGGACAGAGATGAGAAGAAATTCTTTTGAGGGTTGAGCAACTTTGGAGCACTCTGCCTCAGAGGGCAAAGTAGAGTCACTGAATTGGTTTAAAGCAGAGTTAAACAGATTTTTCTTATGCAACAGAATCAAAGGTTCCTATAAAGGGCCTTTCAGCTTTTAGTAATTGGTCAGATCTCTAGAAGGATCATTGCTGTTCCGGAGTTTGCAAATCCAGAATTTTGGCTGGGGTCTCTCAGTTTGGGAATCTTTGCAGTAAAGTGTCAAAACAAAACTGGGGGAGAAATGGGAGCACCATTTCACCAAAGCCGCATGACTTTTGTGCTAAGCTTCTCACTGAGGTGTCCTGGAGAATCTTTAAGAAATTCTGTCATTTCTTTGAGACTCCAGGAACAATCCTGAAGGCAATCCAAGGCAACAAGCATCAATGCGATCATAAACTCCATGGCTTCAGGGTAGCCAAAAGGCAAAATTTTCCCTCAAAAGAGATTGACAAATAATCAACATACTAAAAGGGAAGACAATGGTGGCACTTTTTAAAAAGAAATTACAGTTGGCAAGCCCATACAACTTGCAGATTCTGCGTATGTTTTTCCTTTTCTGCTTTTAAGTATGTGCCGGAGTAATGGAAGATGTTTAAATAATGTGCTCGTAGTGGTTGCAAGAGTGTAGAGTCATCGTGTGTTGGCAGTGGACCAAGTGGCTTCCTGGAAAGGGAGGTTGAACTGCTGACACGTCTGTTGTGTACTATAGCAGGCTAAGGGAAGGAGGGAACAGACTCCAATGGTTACTGCATTTGTCAAACTGAAAGTACAAGGGATTCCTGCTGTCACGTGAACCAGAGCGAAGCGCCTGAGCTTCTTAAAAAGGAAATGCAGCCTTTAGAAAAGCCTGCTGTTTCTATCTGACTGCAAATTTTTATGGTGCCTTTCCACGCCTGTGGCGTCACCCCATCCCTGCTAGTCCCATTCTGTATGGCAGAGGGTGAATTTGCTGATACAGTATTTTGTTCTCTTACTGTCGGCACTCATTTGTGCTTTCTCAATTAAGTTGCTGTTATCTGAGTGCTAGTCCGTGGCTGACAGTCATCTTCCCTTGTTCTTTTGCTCATCAATGTAGATTTTACAGCAGGGAGCTGCAGTTTACAATGCCCCCTCTCAGTCTTGGAAAGTACAGAACTGCAGCCAGTAGCAACCAAGATCACCAATCTGCCTGGCTCAACAATATGGCCACCTAATGCCATTTACTGTTTTTGTGTTGATAGAAATAAACCATGCCATAAGGCCCAAGTAGGTCAGTGTCATCAGATTCAACTCATGAGTTGGGTGAAGTAAGTCAGATGCAAGTAATTTTTGGATTCATCTCGTCGAAGATTATTCAAGAAATTGAGGCGATTCAGAGGTAGATCAAACAACCGTTTGATTTTTAATGCCTGCAATATTGTATTTCTTCCCCCTTCCCTCTTCACTCCCCAAAGAAGAATGAGAATAATTGTCTGTGCAGTGTTAAGTATGTTTTATTGGCCTTCCCCAAACGATAGTGTAGATAATGGCACAGAACAGAGTGGATGTGACCATGGCTCAATCGCACATCTGCATCAAGGTAATTTCACCTGTTAGGTCGCAGAAAATCTGTCAGGCTTTCCTGCTTTAGTTTGCTATCTTCAACGTCTCCTTTGGATCAATTTTGAGAACAGGATGTGGCAGGTCTTGCACCAATAACTATGCTAATAAGTGGCACATTGAGGGTGCTGAATGTCTAATCAGGTCAAATATTTGAGACTAGTAGATGCCGGTGAAATGTTACCCTTGCAGGAGGATGAGTAAACACGAAAAGTTAAGGCAGCTCAGATGTGCGGTGGGCCCTCAGGCGACCTGACCTCTGCCTGTCCAGACCTCGACATTGTCTCCATGCACCCTGTGATGTGGTGCCCCACAGTCTGAGCTGTTTCAGGGAGATTCCCTCTGTGCCCTTGCAAATGGTACGGAGGTGCTGCTGCACACTCTCCACTTCCTCCACTTTGTCTGCCACTTGAATATGCTTTGGTGTAACGTTTTGTCCTCCAGCGGCATAGAACCCCAGTGGAGGACCTTTTTATAAGGGGATCCTTGCTTTTTCCACTGGGGATCTGGGGTGGAGAGTGCAGTATGCAGCAGTCCCATGCAACAGGTCACATGTAGCTGCTGTAACCTGCAGGAGGTGGTATTTGACATTAATGTTGATTGTTTTCGTTTGCAGTCTCTCTTTAGTTTTTTTTACAGTTTTGGCTTACAGTTTTGATCTATGGTCATCCTGTGCAGGGATGGGCAAACAATCAGAGGGCCTTCTTGTGGATCTATAGGTTTGGTCATAGGGGCCATTAACAGACGCAGGCAGTGACCCTCAGAAAGGGTCATTGTATCTGACTGTCTACCCCTCTTTCATACTTAGTACGTTTTTGTTCACCTTTTTCATGAGTTTCGGTTAATCGTTAGTTTGTATTTTTGTTACAGTGCCTCATCAGGGGCTGTTTAACTCTGTTTTGGTTTCAACAGAACAGAAAGGAATTGTATTTACACAGTGCGTTTCATGCCTTTAAGATGCTCCAAAATACTTTATGGCTCATGCACTACTTTTGAATTATGATCACTATCTTGTAGATTAATATGATTGTGCAGCAGACAAATTACCAGATAATTTGCTTTTGATGATTTTTGTGGCATGGTAATCTTTGGCCAAGATACGTGGCATCTATTCTAACAGTGCTATGTGGCTTTTTAGAATATAAAACAGTGCAGTGCAGAAATGGACCCTTCAGCCGATTATGTTGTGCTAAACTTGACGCTAAATTAAACTGATCCCTTTTGCCTGCCCTTAGTCCATATCCTCCATTCCTTGCATATTCATGTGCTTATCGAAAAAGTGGCTCACTTTTGGAAGGGAGCAGCATGCTGGTTGCGTGCCTTTGAAGGATGTTTCCTACTGGGGGAACTGTCCCAGATGCGATAGAGGCAGAGTTCAGAGAATGGCACATCGAAGGGCAGGATGCTGGTTGTGTTGTGACTCCATTAGAAACACTTCCCACCATAGGTGGTGTCCCATTTTTTGAAAGTGAGTGGGTGCAGTTTGTGTTCACTCCGCCTCTACCACTATCCCTGGCAGCACGTTCCAGACTCCTACCACTCTATGTAAGATAAACCTACCACTCTATATAAGAAAAACCTGCCCCTGACATCTCCTTTGAACTTTACCCCTCTCACCTTAAATCCATTCCCCTTAGTATTAGACATTTCAACTCTGGGAAAAAGATTCTGACTGTCAACCATATCTGTGCATCTCATAATTTTATAGACTTCTATCAAGTCTCCCCTCAGCCTCTGCCGTTCTAGAGAAAACATCCCGAGTTTTTCTAGCCTGTCCTTATAGCTCAGAACCTCTAATCCAGACAGCACACTGGTAAACCTCTTCTGCACCCTCTCCAAAGCCTCCACATCCTTCCTGTAATGTGGCGACCAGAATTGAACGCAATACTCTACGTGCAGCCTAATCAAAGTCTTATAAAGCTGCAACATGACATACTGACTCTTGTACTCAATGCCCCAACCAATAAAAGCAAGCATGCCATACTGTTGCAAAGTTGGATAAAGTATTTGTGGATTGGGAGGCAGGTCATTTGAATTTGGTGTTTGCAAAATATTGGTGTTTGTAAAATGCGAGGGAGGAAAGCATTACGTGGTCCCTTTTAAAAGAATGTGTTTTTTCTATGCTTGGAGATGTCTGTGAGCAGCTTGAAAGTTTGCAAGTACTGAGAGCACCCAAATTGAAACATTTATATGGAAAGGCCGTACCATTAACAGGCCAAGCAGCATTTTTACCAAGACAACAGGGTTTTGAATTTGGCCAATCAATTTGAACCAGGCACTTAGATACCAGAAGCCTATCAAATTTGAATCTGATGGTTTTGACAACCTAGGACCAATCCAATTGTAAGAAATTGCTATATCATCGGGGTATAAAGGAAGGGGGCAGTTGGAAAATTGGCAGAGCTAACTGCCATCTGGTAGAGATAACAGGTCTCAGTTCTTCGAGAAAGCACCATCTATTATCTATTGTTTTCGTTATATAAATGGGACTTGTATTTATTGGTACAGGATACCACTAGAATCTCGTGTTATTTGGGAATAGTTAGTAGTTAAAAGAGATTTGTTCAGTTTGTTGATAGTTTAGTTAATTTGTTCACTATTGGAGTTAGATAAATAAATTGTTACTTGTTGATTGTAAAGTGAGTATCAGGGATTTATTTGATTTAACCACTAGAAGTTGCTGAAAGACAGGTTACACCCCTTTTCATGTATCTTTTAACAGATTATAGGGAAAGGTGCTCCTCTTTGGGTATTTCAGTTTTGGTTCTCAGAGGGGGGATTAACCTCCGCTTTATAACTAAACGCCTTCTTTACCGTCCTACCTACTATGTGGCCACTTTCAGGGAGCTATGGACTTGAATCCCAAGATGCCTCCATACATCAGTCCAGTTTAAGGTCCTGCCATTAACCGTATACTTTTCCTTAACATTTGATCTTCCAAAATATAGCATTGGAAGCAGCAAACGATATGTCAGTTCATCCTATTGTCTGAACAGCAATACTCTGGCCATGAGAGAGATAGTAAGAACTGCCGATACTGGAGTCAGAGATAACACAGTTTGGAACTGGAGGATTGCAGCATCAGAGGAGCAGGAAAGTTGACGTTTTGGGTCAGGACCTCAGTACATCATTCCAATGTTAACTTAGCTTAGGTGGTCAAGTTTTGGAGGAAGATTTGAATCCATGACCCTCTCATCCTGCAGCAAAATTGCTACCACTTAGCCAACCAAGGCTGATCAAGGTTTGTGTTTTGAAAATCATGTCTAATGTTCAAACATCCATTAAGGACCAAAGAAATTTGGAAGCCAACAGGCGCAGGATTGCCAAAATATGTAACTAGACTGTTTGATTCTTTTTCAGGGAAAGCTAGGTAAGGGAATTAGTTTACCTTAAGTTAGGCAAATTGTCTAAATTTGAATTATGAAGTCCGTAGCCAAATGATTGAACATTGTCTCCTAGATGGTCAGGCCTTGGAGGATTGAGAGTATGTTCTTTATATCCTTGGAGCCTGGATGATGTGTTTAAGAACTTGTGACCTGGCAAATTCTTTCAACGTTCATCTGAACTTATCTTAATTATATTGATCACTGATTGGTGAGAGAATGAGGGGAACATGTGTATTTTGCAAGTTCCTTTTAATCTAGTTTTAAAAGACTTTGAACTACTGTTAGTTATAACTGCAGATGGTGTGGGATGTATCAAATAGTTAGGTTCACACAGTCCTTTGCACTTTAACAATAATGTTCGAAACAATGGACATACTTTTGTCATCTCCTCGGCATGTAGAAAATAGACACATTCCTTGTTGAAGTTGTTAATGTGAATGATGAAAACCACTGAATAGAAAGTGGTGACATTGTTATGGCTTGCAAAACAGTTTCATAATCGAGGGTTTTTAGATGGCGATAAAAATGGAACATGCAAGCTCATATTAGCCCAGACCCCACTTTCCCCAGGATTAGTTCAAAGCCTTGAAATTGCCCTATAGTAGCTCCGTTTTGAGATATACACTGGTTGAAGTTGTTGGGGAATTCAGTAACTACAGCAGCTGCTGCTACAGAACTCTCTGTTCTTGAATCTTGCTGCCACCCACTCAAGACGGTGGCATCAGAGATGAAGCAAGTCCTTGGGAAAGTTTTTGCGCCCTGTTTGTATCCTGAAATAATAT